GGAAGGTTCTGGGTTCGAATCCTAGTCCGAGCTATCTAATAATTTTTTCGGATGACACGCAAAATCGTGAAGCGTTCCACATTTTTTTAACAAATATAAATAATGCTGTGAAGCGGGAAAGATGCTGTCTTCAGAAGCTGCCTGGAACGCAATGAACACTTTTGCCACAGAAGTGCTAACAGAGCTGCGTTCCGTCGAGAGAAAAAGAGCAAAAGACAGAATCTAGAAGGAAGATAACATCTTAGCCCCCAGAAGGAAGAGCGGCAGCTAATTCCTCCCCCCGTGAAGAAATGCCTTACGGCGGTACCATGGGGGATGAGAGGATAGAAGAGAAAGGGGTTTAGGGTTTAGTGGTTAGGGGCGTCAGCGTCAAGTTTTAGTATGACGCTGTGTCGAGTCGCCACATATCCGGGCCAACATCTATGCCTAGAATCCGTAAAAAGGATTCTCCCCCCCTAAAGGAAAAAAAAACCACACACACACACACCCCAGAAGGAAGAGCGGCAGCTAATTCCTCTCCCCGCGAAGAAATGCCTTACGGCGGTACCATGGGGGATCAGAGGATAGAAGAGACAGGGGTTTAGGGTTTAGTGGGTAAGGGCGTCAGCGTCAAGTTTTAGTATGACGCTGCGTCGAGTCGCCACATATCTGGGCCAACATCTATGCCTAGAATCCGTAAAAAGGATTCCCCCTTCCTAAAGGGAAAAACACACACACACACACACACACACACACACACACACACACACACACACACACAGACGTACGGACATCATCGTAAAAATAGTCAGGGAAGCTTCCTGTGACCTTAAAACGTCGAGATCTGATGAAAACTCAATTTTTGTAAAACGGGGTGAAAACAATAACTTCCCGATTTTTGAAAATCTGAGATTTTTAGCGGGAAGTTAAAAATATCTCTAAAAGTAGTTATTTCAAGATGAAATGAAATTGCACTTTTTAAGAGGCTAGTGGTTATTGGTTAGAAGCAGTCTTTTAACCGATGACACAAACGATGTGATCGAAGTGTCAAATAATTCAAGGTGGGAGCAATTATCATTGATTAGATTAGCGATCCTATTCCTCGGGCTATTATATATATAACTTTTGGTAGTTTTAATTGTCTTTATTAATCGATTTGCTCTTAAGCTTGACGTTGGACAGATGATTCCTACTTTCTCTAGGATCTCTGGAGAGTGGATGTGTCCGTTAATAATTTTGAAAGCAAAAATTTAAGTCCGATATTTGTTATCTCTGGGAAAGCTTGCTGATCTGGAAGTTACTGTAGGCTTCCTGAGCTGTAGACAAAAACGTACGATTTGCAAGATGCTTGCACAGTTTGTATAGTATTCTTTCTAGTCTATTAGTAGCTTGTGTCGTACTTGGTGACCCGATTATAGTGCAATATTCTAAAATCGGTCTGACAAGGGTATTGAATAGAAGTATTAATGTTCTTTCGTTCTTGAAGTCTTTGCCTAATCTGATTATATACCCTAGAGTTTTATACGCCTTTGATACTGTTTTGTCTACATGCTCATTGAAGCTTAACTTGGTGTCAACCAGCACACCTAAGTCTTTCATGACAGGAGGTTTAGGTAATGGCTGGCCATTTATAACAGCGCATTTATCGATGTTTAACTTTAACTTGTTTTCTAGGCACCATTGATAGAGATTATCCAGATCTTGTTGTAATACTCTTATATCATCCTTAGCAGTTATTTTTCGATATATCTTCATGTCGTCTGCATACAGAAGATATTCAGAGCTTAAATTATCTGCAATATCATTGATAAATATATTAAATAGAACCGGACCTAGATGCGAACCTTGAGGAACTCCAGAGTTGACCTCATAATCCTTCGAGTAGTAGCCATTGACCCTCACTTGGAGACTCCTTCCAGTTAAATAAGATTGGAACCAGTTCAAGGCTTTACCAGTCACCCCGTGACATTTCAGCTTCTTTACTAGAATATCGTGATTGACTGTATCAAACGCTTTACTGAAATCAGTATACAGTGCGTGGACGCTGAACCCATGGTTCAGGGCGTTATATATGTAATCAGTATAGATGTAGAGATTTGTTGTTGTAGACCTGCCACTTATGAAGCCATGCTGTCTAGTTGAGATAATATTTTTTGATTGCAGATATTAACTGTGGGAGTACAAGTTTCTCGAAGAGTTTTGCCAAAGATGATTGTATGCAGACTGGACGGTAGTTAGTGATACTGGACTTGGATCCAGATTTGTATATTGGGCAGATATATGATAATTTCCATTCACTTGGGAAGACTCCTTCTTCGACGGATTTGTGAAAAATATGAGTGATTGGTTCACAAAGTCCTATTGCACAATTCTCGAGAGAGAGGTTAGGTATTCCGTCTGGGCCAGCCCTCTTTTTATCATTAAGATTCTTTATGACTTTAAGCACGTCATCATAGCGTACCTCCAACTGAAATAGATTTGCGTCATAATCAGTAGGCAGCTTTTTTACCTGATTTACCGAGCTGTCATGTGTCCCCATGTATATACTTTTGAAATATGAAGCAAATAAATTGCTTACCTCATCATCAGTGTTGGCAGTATATTCACTCCAATTCATCGTACTAGGTATATTTAAGTCCTTGCGCCTCTTACTCTTCACAAAATTCCAGAACTGAGTAGTGTCCTCATGGATTAGATTTTTCATGCGAGTGACATAGTTATTGTAACAGATGATGCTCAAACTCTTGCATTCTTTTCTTATATTCTGGAACTCCTTATACGTATGGTCCACAGATTCGGTAGAATCTGGCGCCAAGGTCCGTTCAAAAATCCCGTTGTAAACGGAGCGCCAGACTACCGACTGTGTTTACTGTAAGCAGAACGGTTTTTTGAGGTTGCGAATTTAAATTAATTCTACAGACCTTTTTTTCCTTCAATAATACTCTATAATAATACTTTATGTGTTATATTATCAATAGTAATTAATAATGGTTATTAAAAATAATGAATTCTATTTAAAATTAATTAAATTCACTAGCACAAACTATAGCGACCCAGATTTTTAGATTCTGACTTTTTTCTTATGGAGAAAGTGACATGCCACAGACTAAATAATTCTATGGCCTCCAGGGTGCACTGGAATTATTTCTACATAAACTGTAGCTTCAAGGGGATAGTTTGCGCCGCAGACTAGATATCTAAGGGTGAACCACGAGCTAACTATGTGATGCTTTGGATTGCGTCCAGCAGGTGACACTACTTGTCCCGAAGCGCGAATTCAAACATTTTTTCCGGGATAATACTGTAATTCTAGTTCTACACGCCTTATAGAAATAGTAGAGAAAAAATTAAACTATTATTGTTAAGAAAAAATAAAATTATTGTAAGAAACCGAAAAAAAATTGATACAACCTACAAAAAATCGAGTGTGTATTTACCGTAAGCAGAACGGTATTTTGACGCTGTAAATTTTTTTTCCAATTTATTTGGATTTCTTATTTATATGATGTTTTATATAATGGTAACAGTACCCTGATAGCTACAGTTTCAGACCAACCAAGTTGGTGTCAGATAGTTGCCACCAACTTACCGACAACTTGCGGTCAACTTCCGAATTTGAAACTGTTGGCGTCAAGTTAGCTACAAGTTTCTGAGAAAAACAAGACCAATCTACTGCCGCA